CTATATCAGAGTACTCCCCTGAGTATAATCACTAGCTCTTCTAAGAGCTGTTCCTGCTACGCTCTCTGGAAGCTGGATCCTTGTCTTGGGTCCAGGGTGGGTGGAGGACGGCGAGACACCAACCAAGCTGCGGCGGTTTGGGGGTTTACGGTGGTTATGGTGTTGCAGTGCAGTGATTATGGTGCCAGGCGGTCTGTCACAGGGTGATATTGTTTAGGTAACCACAGTAAAATCATAGGGATGTATAGATACTTTTTCCAGGGAAATGTTGGAAAGGCTGTAGCTAGAATGGTTGCGTGATAGCAGAGTTGTACATTGGGTACAGCGAGGCCTTCTTGTCTGGTGGGCGCTTTCATTAGTTTACGTGAAACTCTAGGTTTACTCCCCACCTATATAAATCTATTCATGTCAGAGTGGATCTTTTTGAAAAAGGAGAGGGGGAGGGCTATCGGAAGGGTCCTGAATAGCTATTGTAATCTGGGAAGTATAAACAACTTAAAACCTATCACTCGTTTTGTCCATGTAAGAAATAATGGGGTCCATTTTTGCAGCAATTGTTGGCATGACCTCCATACTGCGATATAGTTTGCAAGACATAGTTCTGCAGGGTTTTAGTAATTGTCAGCCCCAAATGTTTGATGTTGTCTTTTCTCCATTCAAAATCATAAATAGATCGCAACATTCGCTTTCCCTGCAACTTGATGGTACTTGCATCAGTCCGTCCTTGCAAGCTCATTGTCTTGGTATTATCTTTGATCCTGGTCTCACATTTGCACCTCATATCCAGTATGTTGCTAAAACCTGTTGATTCCACCTTAAAAACATTGTCCACATCCGCCCCTTTCTCATGCAAGATTCTGTCAAGGAGCTTGTTCATGCTCTGGTCATTTCTCACATGGATTACTGTAATTCTCTCCTAGTTGGCCTCCCCAGAAGCCGAACTGCCCCATTACATTCAGGTATGATTGCTGCCGCCAGGCTGATCTTTTTCACCCGCGACTCCTCCCATACCCGTCTGTTGGTCCCAGGCCCGGACTGGCCATCAGGCATACCGGGCAAATGCCCGGTGGGCCGCGATGGCCGTGGGGCCGAGGCCGGCAGGGAGATCACAGGATCTCCCCGGCCGGCCCCTGCAGGGCCAGCGCTATCCGAGTGCCGGCCCTGCATAGTGCCTCCATGGGCCGGTGGGGAGATCACAGATCTCCCTCACCGTCCCAGAGGCAGGGAAATGCGGCCGCCGGCTGGGTGAGGGAGGGAGGGAGGACCCGGCGGAGCTCTAACAAGCAGCTCCGCCGGGTCCTCTCGCGGGATTCTGAGCGTTGCTGCGGTTACCACGGCAACGCTCAGATCTCGCGAGAGTGAACTCTAACCCGCAGGTTAGAGTTCACTCTCACCACTGGACCACCAGGGAAGGCAGCATGGCTCCCCCTCAAGGCACCCCTGGCAAAACGGATCTCTTCCCCCCCCTCCCAGGATAAAGGTAAGAAGGGAGGGGGGGGGGGATATATATATTTTTTATTAATAAAATAAATATTTAAATTTAAATAAAAAATACATTCACACTCTCACACACACAGCACCCCCAGACACACACAGCACCCCTATACACAGCACCCAGACACAGCACCCAGACACACACAGCACCCCCAGACACACACAGCACCCCCCAGACACACACAGCACCCCCAGACACACACAGCACCCAGACACACACAGCACCCAGACACACACACACAGCACCCCCAGACACACCCAGACACACACAGCACCCCCAGACACACACAGCACCCCCAGCACACACAGACACACACAGCACCCAGACACGCACAGCACTCCACAAACACACACAGCGCACCCCCAGACGCACGCAACACCCTCAAACAGACAGCACCCTCACTCCCACACATATACAGCACATATATATTATATAAAATAACCCTCAGTGAGTTAACAGACAAATAAAATTAGAAACCCAGAATGTGACCGCAGATAAAAACACCCTCACACACAGCACTCCTCTTACACAAACACGCTACGCACCTCACACATACAATACGTCCAAATATATTATATATATATATATATATATATATATATATATATATATACAAAAATCTAAACTGAGGATGCACTCACAGGACTTGGTTAAAGTGAAAAAAATGGACTTTTAATTATTCCATGTGAAATGTACAGAAAAATAAATTTTCCATTCACATAGAATAATTAAAAGTCCCTTTTTTTAACTTTAACCAAGTCCTGTGAGTGCATCCTCAGTTTTGATTTTTGTATATTTCTGATGTTTGGGATATAGCACCCAGGCTATTAGTTCTTTCTTATTACTTAAAGGAGAGTGCCAAGCATCCTGTTTTTTTGCTATATATATATATATATATATACACACACACACACACACACACTACAGCAGCCCTCACACTGCACCACTACACACATTACGCTCCAGATACACGCTAGATCCCTTACCCTATATGCACTCTTAATCCTCTACACACACACACAATCTTCTATACACACTCTGGGTCCTTTACACACCAGATCTCTTACACACACACACTGCACCACCTACACACACACTACATTCCTTGTAAGCAAACACATACAACATTATCTAAATACACCCTCTCTACACACAGTAGTGTGTGTGTATAAGTGACACACACTACATCACCTATACACACACACTACTGCCCGTATGCACACACTCGCTACATCCCCTATAACACTATGCCCCTATACACGCACTCTCTACAACCCCTAGCCACATATTACACCACAAAATTGACCTATTTACACAATACCACACCACACTCTACACACACGCAATCCCACAAGCATGCGCCAAACACATGCACCATACACTTTCCTGGCCCTTTTGTCCTCTGGTATCCCACTCGTGGAGACACCAGAGACAATTTAAAAGCAAACACAGCGCAAGCATGTTATTACATTTGCTTGCGCTGCGCAGAACAAATACAGGGCCTTTTTCTAATGCTAGAGCTCTTCAGCGGGGCTCTGCGCATTGAACCAACATGCTCACTTTCTCTGGCCCCGCCCCCTTTTTGGGGGGCCGCTCTAATTGAAAAATGCCCGGGCCTAATTTTTTCCCCAGTCCGGCCCTGGTTGGTCCTTACACTGGCTTCCTGTACCCTATAGGTGTCAATTCAAATACTAACCTGTTACAATTGCCTGCGGTCTAGCAAGAGGTTGGATCGCTTGGATGTCCTGGTTCCCGAAGTTGGAGAGTCGTACACTGTTTCAAACGGTAGAAACCTGTAAGTGTAAAATATCCCACTAGCTATAGTAAAGCTAGGATTCCCGGTTCCCTACAACACGAGTCGAGGCTGCGAGTTGAGGGTAAAACGAACTGGGTTTAATGGCACACAGGCATGGCAATTTATGCAAGCCCCCAGGTCAAGGGACAGCCACCTCTGGACCTGATGGAACACAGGTACAATACAAGGATTTGACCAATCACATTACACTGTATCATTCAAAATAGTACCCGCCCAGCTTGGAGATAATGAGTCCAACGGTTATACAATCTAGTTATCTCCAAGCACCCAAAATGCCATGCTTTATTTTGTCACAGAAAACAGCATAAAAATATATAACTTCAACATTTTGAAGAGAATACAGCTTGCTCAACTATTCATTCGGTAGCTCAGATCTGAGCACATCAGCTATACGAATTGCGCTCAGATCTCACGAACAGAACAGTTGATTTCTGTCATACAAAGTCTCATTCGTTGCTTTTATCCTGAACTCGGGATTGCGGCCATGTTTGAAGGTCAGTCAATGGACAGCGGGACCTCGACCCAAAACTCATGGAGCGAATGTCGGCTACATATTTGCCCAAACTCCCACTCTCAGTATGGTTGTCCCAGCCATTCGGGAAACGACCACCTGGAAGGGGGTACTTAACCTGCGGTTAACCGCAAAATCAACATTCTAATTGATGCCACACCCCAGGATGTAGGTGGTCCTTGTTCGTGAGTCTTTCGGTAGTTTTTAGTTTGGGGAAATGTACACGAACGTGGATTTCCTTTAGACCGTCAATTAGGCTGTGGTTAACCGCAGCTCCTTTGGTGGTTAATTAGCGGAACGCTCTGCTCGTAAGGTGGTCGGTTGTTCGGTACTTTCAAAGGTGACCGGGGTTAAGTGGCAGCACACGCCAAGGGCAGGGTGGTCCGTCGTTCATATACACGAATGTGTAGATATAACTGTTCGTATAATGTGTTCGTACAGTCTGGATACTGAACAGAGTATTAGATGAACAAAAAGGGGTTACTTCTATAACAGATTGGAGGGTTCTTGTAACAATGATCCCTCCTTGTGGAACACTCTGGCAGACACTGTCTGACCCCTTTTCGGGGCAGACTAAGGCTTTCCAGACCGAGGCGTTAGGCTGGACTGAGTTCGGTTTGTCGAGATAACCCGTCGGCATTGCCATTGTTTCCCGGGTCGGTAGGTGATAGTGAAATTAAACGGCTGTAAGGATAAGCTCCAACGTAAAAGTCTGCCATTGTCCCCAGCGACCCGATTGAGCCATACCAACGGGTTATGGTCTGTAACCAGTGAACTCTTGTCCATACAAGTAGGGAGTCAATTGCTTTAGTGCCCACACCAGGGCCAAGCACTCCTTTTCCACGGCGGCATAGCTGACCTCGTGTGGCAGGAGTTTTTGGCTGATGTAGGCAATCGGGTGTTCCTTTCCATCGTCTCCTACTTGGCTTAGGACGGCCCCCAGCCCGAACATGGAAGCGTCTGTATGGACGATAAAACGTTTATTAGGGGATGGGGCAGCCAAGACAGGAGCATTAATTTGGGCACTTTTGAGGGTCTGGAAGGCTGTTTCACAGTGGGGAGACCACAGGACCTGTCA